TCTGTGGTGCCAAAAATCCAGCAACTCCAACCGTTGCAAGACCGCCTCTGCTTCTAGTCCGGAAATGGGCGAAGACTGTTGATTGGTAGCTAACTGCGCTAGCAAATTATATAATCATTAACATCTTAATTCCTTTTTATACAATATCGTCTGATAAATATAAATCGAAAGTTATTAGGAAGATTCCTATGACAATTAAATGGTTTAGAAGTTTGTGTTTTAAGCCGTTGCGTCACGTTACATGTGGTAGGAAGATGTCCTTGAAAAAGACCTGTATCTCTCGAGCAAAATAGTTGGGAAATAATGAAGGAAAATGCAGAGGGACAGGCTATATTTAGCTGTGTCGGTCGTCTATTTCTTGGACAGAAACCAAATACACAAAGACGGCAGAGCCTTATGGAAGTTTCATAATTAAACTTGGTTCAAGCACGTACACAGAATCTCTAAAACGGAGAATATAAATTCCGTATTCCGGACGTGAGGTTTTTAAGACACGCTAGTGGCGAAACGGTGCTCACAAGGTCCTGGCTTCATAGGAGCCACCGACCAGTTTCAGTGCACAGATGAACATCAAAATCGCAAATCTGTGTCTGCAATTAAGACTACATCCGGTATTGCAGGAGTCCCAGAGTTACTGTAAATATAGTTGGATGACGAAATTACATCAGTATTGTCAATTTTTTGGGAGACCAGCCTTCAAAAGTCAGGAACTGAAGGCATATTAATAAACTATTTGTGTAATCCAGTTTCAGGAGGCTGTTAAAGACTGAGTAATACTTACAACGGCTGCATCAGCACATGAGAATACAAAACGGTTATTTTCAGAATTTAGTTAAAATTATTCCAAATAAACGTAAAGAGACCGTCTGCCAATCATGATAAAGCGCAAATATAACTTCAATCTTCGCATATTTAATACAATGTGCAATCACATAGCAGGTCCCATAATTATTCAAAAAATGAAAAAGGCGGTAAAACTTATGGAGAACGGGAAATGATTTCGTTTGCATCAAAAACACATCTCAAAGCCGCCAGGGAAATGCAAAACGAACGGACTGCTGCAATCCTTTTTCAATCATCCATTTCTTAAACGTGAATAAATAAAGGAGTGTTGCAAATAAGAATATCTTTAAGCGAATGGTCTTCGTCTGTTCCATAAGCTGTTCATGTCTCGCCTTTATGTTAAGCACCCGATTATGTAAACGATGAGAAATCCTGTTTCGTTTAAATTTCCTATATGTCCTCAAGTGTCGTATGTAGTATGGAGAAAGTTCGTTAAATCATATTGCCTAAGAAACTGTAGTTTAACAGTTTTGATGAAAATAAACTACAAGAACTGTCTATTTGTGCAATCGACAATGGATGTTAAAAATGCTGAACTATTCATTACAAGTTCAAAGAAGACTTAACAAATGCCTACTTCTACGGCCACCGGAAACCACCGAAGAAATTTATGAAAGACGAGTATTGCACAGGATATTGTTGATGTTCGCTTATATTAGCCTACGATATTGCAATTTTTGGCAACGATCAGTCTCTAAACCTGGGGTTTATGCTACGATTAATTTTGGTGGCATTCATATCCGCAAAATTAAGCAAGTAAATTTTCCTGCTAATCAGCCATAGCCAAAGTTCAATATTACAATGCCTAAGATCCAAGGATTTCTATAAAACAGCGGAAAGTGAATTTCTCCGCGGAGACCTATCGCGAGATGTACAGTATGGCGAGTGCTACAAGCAACATTCCGCAATTTGAAAAAAAAACGGTTATCACTGGCAAAACAACATTAATTAGGCTTACAATACTGTTTATCATGCAGTCCAATTTCAATTATTTTCAGTCACGCTGGGATGCCGACTGTTTGATAAGCTTTTTTTCCGACTGCTGCTGTGTAAAAAATGGCTACTTAAATAGTATGCATTTTTATCATTGATTTTGGCTGCTTTTATAAATTCAAATATATTTATGGAAAACATGCACGAAAAAATCCTCTCTTTTACTTTTTTGGTAGCAAATTCCACTCTCTTTAAATTTTATTCTTAAAGGAAGGGTTTCCTGCGGCTTTAAAAACATTTCAAAATTTTCCGAATGATTTTGAATTCTAGCGACTGCTACAACTGAATTCAATTTTTACAAACGAAATGCTGTGTTTATCCTGTTATAGGAAAAGTACGGTCTTGCCTACGGTTTGAGAAAGTGGGTGCATAGCTCTCATAGAATTTTGCAATAGACATAGCCCATGCTCTATATATTAGTGGCAGCATTCATAAATTGACGGATACGATGCATTATGAATGAACATCACAAAGTCGTTAAAATCGAAAAATTAGAAATTTTTTTAAAACCGAAGGAAACCCTTCCTTTAAGAACAAACTTTAAAGAAAGCGTAATTTTATATCAAATAAGTACAAAATAGGAATTTTTCTTGCATGCTTTCTGTAAAATATAGTTAAATTTATCAAGACTGTCAAAATAAATAATAAAATGCATACTACTTTAGTATGCATTTTTAAAGGATCAACATTATCGCAGCGGTCAAAAAGAAGCTCATCACCAGAGTCGGCATCCAGGCGTGACTGAAAATAATTGAAATTGGGCTGCATGATAAACAGTATTGCAACCCAACTCAATGTTGGTTTACGAGTGATAACCGATCTTTAGATGTGGTGTCTTTGTTTCTCATAAGCAGTAGAATATTTTTGCGGGTTTTTAGGCGGCGTATCGGTCAGAGAGTTAAGGCTATTGCCCTTTTTCTACACACGTTAAACCTTTAATTCTCCCGGCCGGTCGCCGGCTAAGCGGTCTCTGGAAATCTATTAACTGACGTCTTCTTAGTAACAACAGATTAAAACCAGTTTTGTCATCTTACAAAAGACCACTTTCCCAGTGCTCATAAGTTTAGTGAAGGGTTTGCAGAATCGGTCAAAAAGCTACCATTTTGACATCTTTGTAGTTAAAGTGAATTAGGTCGACTCAACAAACGGAGTAAAAGAGAACGGAAAACGTCCTACTTAGAAGAACAACCGTTGGATCAACTCACAGAAGGGTATTTGGTAAAAAAAGCATGAACCGTACAGTAAACAAAGTAAGACATCTTTGTCGCATACTCATAACCAAAGTTTAGTTCTCTGCCTCTCTAACCGAGCTAGGAGAGTATGCAATCCAAAAAATTCCTGGAAAAGGAAATTGCCTTTATTCAAAAGACGGCAGTGTTCATATAATTAGCCAATCTTATCCTATGCACACACAGAGCGTTTAACCAGGGCCAGACCCACTGTCCAGGCAAGAAACTGCTAAATGCCTTTACCAGATATGGCGCAGTTGTGGAAAAAGTGAATACGACGGAGCATCTGAAAGATTACTCCGGACGCG